ATTTTCCTGCCCTGAAATGGAGGTTGGAGAAGGACGGCTCGTGTGAGGGGATAAAGCAGTCCGGACATTTGCAAGGAGAAGGCAGTAGCGCAAACACAAATGACGACAATAATGGAGAGGCGAGGGCGACACTGGTGCGCCTCGGCGGCCTCGCCGGAAGACAAACAATAAAAGCGGGGATGGATCCAAACACCTTCGCATGGGGGCAGGTCGAGGACATGGTACTGACCGACAAGCGGAGAAACTAGCCTGCAGTTTCGTGCACATTATTAAGGGTCTTAACAAAACCATGGCTGATGGGAATTGCACACTTCTGCAGTGTTTCACAATGATGTTCAGGTCAATAGTGGGACGACATGCATAAGTCCCAAACGCAAGCAAAAAGGTCAGAAATTGCAGGGACTTTCTCTTTCTTCACGGATGACATTGAGTGCCATGAGACACACTTTGTACACAAAGCAAAATAGCACAATGACTCTGTGACTCCATGCACATATCAAAGACATACTATAGAAATTGCAAAACACGGATGTGAATTTTTTTGAATGGGGCAGGAAATTCTCAATAAAGCTGTGGGTGGCACTGGTGCTGATAAGGGCGGGATAAAGAGGTGTGGTTTTCGCAATCAAAATCTTCAGAAATATGATGCCAAAACGAGGACACATGATATTCGACGACATCCGAGGTAGTCTAAGATGTCACGGTAGCGGGCAATGAGGGAAGCTTGCATGCATGGCACCGACGCAGAAACGAAAAGGCACCGAAACGGTTATGTCACTTCCGATATTGGACGATCCAAGCTCCTAAGACTAATTCAAGATCGAAAATTCCAAACAACATCCGCACGCGAGTTTCCAGGCCTATTCTGATTCCTACAAAAAACTATTGGGGGCGTTCATGCATAAGAAAAGACAAGTCACGGAGAAGTGCGTCCGCAAATTCCGGAATTCCCAACTGCTGAACAAAATTCCTAACGCACTTCTAGGGTGCGAGTTATATAATTCCTACGAAAAGTTCATAGACATTGAGGAAAAACCGAAATTCTGAAAATCCTAAGAAACCAAAAACGCTTCGGAAGTATGTAGGCCTCGGCAGCCATTGGACTCCTGCATTACCCACCATGGGCCACCAGCCGAAAAGGAGATACCCCAAAGCCCATTCATGGCCAAAAGAGAAAGGCAGCAAAAACACGAGGCTTACAAAGTTCTTTCAAGCACTGGGGCTGGCACGTCACAGGACTAGGTTTATGACTTTTTCTTCGGGCCTCCAAAGTGGGGTGAAGAGGTCCCCAGCAAATTCTTTTTTTGATTTTTCTCACAATGTTTTTTATTATACAAGCTTGGGCCCGGCGTCCCTTACAAGAGTAAACATAGGCCCTGAAGGAGATCGAGGCATCATTGACCAGGGGGGCCAGGTAAATATTTCAGCTGCCTGTGTATCCAACTCTCTTGGAATGTCATGCTGGACCTGTTTTCGTTTTTTCCTTTTTCCTCTTTCCTCTTTTCTAGGGCGACAATGGAACTGACCGGCCGTAGGTAATTCAGGATTGTAGTATTTCACTTGTCTGCTCCCAGTGGAATTTGCTCTCTGATCTGTATTCCAGCAGTTGAGGGGTGTGCCAACTGAGCTAGGCCAGTTGGTCTGGACCTGTTTTCCATCAGTGTCACTTCCCCACGAATAGACCGGAGCCTGACTGACTTCTGGGGGGAAAAAAAGAAAGGGAAAAAAAGAGAGAAGAAAGATCCAAAAGAAAACAAAACAAAAGGGCGACCGCTTTGAGCTGTTGTCGTGGAGCGGAGCGGCCCCGGATAATTCAATAATTCCATTCACGAATTCCATTCCTGCATTCAGGTCTGCATTTCAACAGTTCCATCGGTGTACCAACTGAGATTGTACTCTCAGACAAGGCCCTTATCATAGCAGAATGGCCTAGTCCCCAGCCAGATTTGGCTGTTGTGCAATTCTGCGATTATAAGGGCCGAATGTGAGTATGGCCTTAGCTAGCATTAGTAGAAGTTGTATAACAAGCTGCTTCTCTGTTGATGGTTCTCTTGGCTTCTCCATTCATAAACACAATTGCAACAGTAGACAGCTAGATGAATAATAGAGAGAGAGAGAGAGAGAGAGAGAGAGAGAGAGAGAGAGAGAGAGAGAGAGAGAGAGAGAGAGAG